CTGATCATATTTTTCTTTCTAATTTTTTTTTCTGGATAGCTTTGTCTTTCCCACTGTTAATTGATTGTTACATTTAAAATTTTTCCTTTGTTTTCTATTTACCTGTTACTAAGTCTTTTCCAATAACATCTTTGAAGCCCTTAAATACTATTTTCTACATGGTTCAAATATATTAAAATAATCTGTCAGTTGTTTTTTTCCAGGTGACATTTCTCCTCCAGACCTCCATCCTCTTGCTGTAGTCTGGACTGGTTACATTCTAGGCCTGTTCCACAGCTTTCATCTTGGGACTTCTGGTTGGATCCCCTGAATCTTGAAAGTCATGTTTTCCTTTCTCCTGGCTTACTACCTAATTTTGCTGGAGTAGCTTCTTGAGATAACGGTACATGGGAGTTAAATTTTGAGGCCTTGTGAGTTTGAAAATGTCTTATCCTTTCTGTTGACTGATAGTTTCTCTGAGTATAGAATTCTAGGTTAGAAAAGATTTCTTTTTTCAGAGTTTACTTGGTCAAGGTCTTCTAACTTCCAGTGTTGTTCAAGTTGGGAAGTGTGATGCCATTTTGATTTCTTATCCTTCTGTTGGGATCTCTCCCTCCCATACCCCCCACCCCTATCCTCTCCAGAAGTTTTAGAATCTTTTATCCTTGGTGTTTTGGAATTCTGGAGTGGTATACCTTCCTTTAGGCCTCTTTTCATTCATTATTTCGGGCATCTGAGAGGTTCTTTCAATCTGGGAAACTTTCTTCTGTTTTTTTTTCTTTGATAATGTCTTCCCTTTCTATTTATTTCTTCTCTTTCAACAAATTGGATTTGCTGGATAATTTATCTGCTGGATTGATCTGCCAGTCCTTTTTTTCTTATTTTTGTTCCTTTTTCCCCCCTACCTTCTTGTTTTAAGATTCCCTGTTTTATCTTCTGAATTTTCTAGTATGTTTACCATTTATGTTAAATTTTTAATTTTTAAGAGCTTTTTGTTCTCTTGGTTCCTGTTTGACTTCTTAGCTCTCCGAGAATACTGTTTATAGTAGTTTTGTCATTTCCTTCTGCTTCCTACATGAGATATATCTGTTTCTTCCAAGTTCCTTCCACTTTGGTTTTTCTCTTTCTTTCATATTGTGGGCTTTCCTCAATTTCTGATGGCTGTCTAGTCATACTTAAGGGTAAAGCACTAAAATACTTTTGGGTGGTCCAGAAGTACTGAGTGGCCCAGGCTTTTGACTGACTGGTAGATAGACTTCACTGAGGGTAATTAATGCCTACCTTTTTGGAGGGTACCTGAAATGGCATTTTTTTGTAGGTATTTTCTCTTGTGCCATTAAGTTACTCCAGAGAAGAATCCTCCAAACTCCTGTCGGGGTGATATAAACCTAGTGCTGGCATTCTGAGAACATGTTAGGGGAACAGATTATTAAGGAGGGAAGAGAAAGAGAACAGAGGATTTGGTTGAAAGTCAGTAAACCAAGCATAATAAGGTCTAGAATTACTTTCTGAAACTTTTGTTTAGGTTTGTGTTTATGTAAAGCAGAATGCAGCCCACAGTAAGAAATCCAGACTTTGAAAGCTGCTGTTTTTTGGGTCTGATAGCATGGAGGGAAGTAGTAGTAACATTATTGAGTGCTTACTTTGCATGTGGCTTACATATGTTATTTCATCTAATTCTCTGTTACAACCTCTGAGGTTTAAGTAGTAGTATCTCCATTTTACAGATAAGAAAATCGTGGCTTAGAGAGGGCAGGTAACTTTTCCAGAAATTGCACAGCTAATAAATAGGCTAGAGCATGGATTTCACTCCAGGTTGGTTTGACTTCGCAATTTACGTGTATAAGCATTACGTTAAATTGGTTACACTTTTTTTTTTAATTGAAATACAGTTGATTTACAATGTTGTGTTACATTGGTTACACTTTAAAAAATGCATTTACATATTGAAAAATTCCAATTTATTTTAGGCAAATTAGGTATAGGGCCCAGAAAATTCTCTTTTTTGTTTATTTAAAAAAACGGTATCTCAAATCTAAATGCAAGAGATCTGGGGCCAGTGTGTCTGGGTTTATAGTTGCTCTGCCACTCAGCAGCTGTGTGACCTTGGGCAGGTTACTTAATCTCTCTTGAGTTTTATTTTCCTCATTTCCACAAGTGGGAAGTGTCAGTTTGTGCCTTCATAAATACTAGCTGTTAGCTTCCTTAAAAAGAAAAATCTCTGCTCAGAGGAGAGGAAGACTATTGGTGAATTGAGAACTTGCCACAATAGCTGTTGATATGAGAACTAGAATATTGTGCAGTAAACACAGAGCACAGATAAGGGCCTTGGGTACTATAAAACCAATAGTCTAGAATTCTGTTATCCTGATCCATTATCAGATTTGTTCAACTTTGAGCTGATGATATAAGCTGTTATTTAAAATTTTTATTAATTTATTTATTTTGTGAATGTAAGATGATTTCCCTCAGGATTCTGAAGCTTGAAAATGTTTGAGATTGATATTCTGACTTGAAAGGCAGCACGTATGTGGATATAAATCATCTCAAATTAGAGTAAGAGGCTTTAGCACAGATACTGGAATTGAAAGTAAATAATACTCTGTTTTTTCCCTAGTTGTCATTCAAACCTACTTAGTGAATGATTTTGAACCTTTACTTAGGATAAAACGTAATTAAAAATTTAAGTGCATGATTTTTTAAGCTGTGCTCTGATGTATTTGCACGAGGTAAGTAGTGATAGCAGTAAGCAAATCTGGGACATCTGAGTCTAAAAATAATCTTGAAACACTAGCTTGGAAGTTCTCTGTACATTCTTTGATTTAGCTTAAAGTAACATGTACATTGAGGAGGAACCTATCAGTGAGATGTAATGCTGTGTTCTTCCCCTGCAGTGGGTGATTCCAGAAGTGGTTGGCCATACCATTATCACTGTGTTAATGCTCATTTCATTGCACTGGTTCATCTTCCTTCTCAACTTGCCTGTTGCCACTTGGAATATATATCGGTGAGTACAATTTGTTTATTGTTTTGTGTCAGGGCAGTTTAGAGAAAAAAATTTTAAAATTTTGACAGCTTTCTCTTCACCAGTAAAACATATGCTAGTCATAAAATAAATGACAGCAGAATGCTTCATTAAATCAACATGAATTTATGTTCACTTTGGTATGCTGGGCAAGTAGCAATTTGCCTGACTCAATCTTGTAATAAATTTACATGTGTAAATTAAAAAATATGTCATGTTTAGTTGTGATGTCTAAAGACTTGTAAAATGTTTCTTCATTGTTTTCGAATAACTTTTTTCTTTAAAAATGATCAAAAGCCTGGGAATATAAAGTTTTTGTTATTTATATCTGCAATTTTCAATTAGCATATACTTGAAATGCTCCAAAGAAAAGTTCATTTTAATTTCTGCATATTAGGTAACATAAAATTTTTAACTTAATAAATTTAGGACGTTTGTTCAAATGTAGCTCAATGGAAACACTGATTGGCTGTAATTTATAGTTGGGGTATTGTTCATTGCATATTTTCTCGTGAAGAGCTGTGGAATAACCTTGACAAACCTGAGATTATTTTTATATCAGTGGATTGCTCCTCTGCTAAATTTTTAGGTTTTATTTTAATTTTATTTATATTTAGTTTTTTGGGGGGTAAAATCATTCATCAACTGATTTTTAAGCTTGATTTTTTTCTTTTAAAGTGCAGTTAGAATAAAAGAGACATAGAAAAGAATAAAGGAAGGGTCAGTGGGAATAGAGTAGGAAGCCCATGAAAAGATAATGGAAGGCAGTGGAAATGGGGGAATGAACTCATAAAGATCGTGGGACCAGAACCTGCGGTAAAGGAAGGTTTTAAAGTCTCCGTTCTTCTTTTCTGGAGGGTGGGTCCAGATGGATAGAATTTTAAGTTTCTTATTGCTTTCCCGTGATCATCCCATATACTAACACCCTAACCTGAGCTCAGCACTGGAAACACAGACTCCTTACATTTCAGATGAGTTGCGATACCACTGGGCTTTTAAGATAGCCCAGTATCCTCGAAACACAGATTTGAGAGCGAGAGTGGGAACCTCTGAGACTGTTTATCTTAATTATATTCCACACCACACCATCAGTCATCTCTACTAGAGATGAAAGTGTCCTAGAGGAAGGGCATGCTTTGGCATGGCTTCTTTGTACAGTTGTCCCTTGGCATCCACAGGAGATTGGTTCCAGGACCCCCACCTCACTCCTGATACCAGAATCCACAGGTGTTCAAGTCCCTTATATAAAAAAGTGTAACATTTGCGTATAACCTACGCATACCCTCCCTTCTACTTTAAGTCATTTCTAGATTATGTGTAATACCAAATACAATGTAAGTGCTATGTAAATAGTTGTAAATGCTATGTAAATAGTTGCTGGCGTGAGTGGCAAATTCAAGTTTTGCTTTTTGCAACTTTATGGAGTGTTTTTTGAATATTTTCAATCCTTGGTTCGTTGAATCCACAGATGCGGAACCCACAGATACGGAGGGCCAACTGTATATAGTACAGATTGCCATGGACAGTTCTGTGAAGTTTTATTTGGGGAGCAATAAAGTTCATAGATTCTATTTCCTATAATTATAAAGACTAAGATCTGGCAATGACAGATTGTCTGCTAGTCACAAATTTACCTTCTATTTTAAAAGGTTAAAAAAATCAACAGATGGATCATTCCCTCTTTGCAGATGTCTGTACTTCATGCTGTTGGGGATACAGACATATATAAAATGGACTCTACCCACAGGAGAAAGAGGCAAAACATTAAATAACAAAATAAGCTAGTTAAATAAGAAGTGGCCTAAGGCAGAGTGAGATAGTTACCAGATGAGTGATGAGGATACTGAGATTGGGAGGGGAGTTGGAGTTCTGTGGACTGGGACAGTTTCATGGAGGTAGCAGTGTTTGAGCAGAGCCCTACAGGGCAGATAAAGTTTGACAGAGAAGTGTGGGGAAAGATTTCTCTGGGGTGTGATGGATAAGGAGAGGGGTGGAAGGGAAAGCTTGAGCAAACACACGAGGCATATTTAAGCACTAATTAAGTTGAAATCACGTAGATGAGGGAGTAGTAATAGACAAAGCTAGAGATGTCAATTGGGATGGGTTGCAGAGAACCCTGAACATTGGTCCAAGGAGTTTATATATAAATATGAGTACTGGTGGCATAAGTTCACCCATTTGAAGCATTCCATTCAGTATGTTTTTAGAATATTTATAGATTTAAGCAGCTGTCACCACAACCCATTTGAGAACATTTCCATCAACCCCAAAGAAGCCCTTTATCCGTTAGTAGTCACTCTGACCCCACCTCTCCTCCAGCTCTGGACAAATGCTGGTCTACTTTCTCTTTATAAAACTTCCTATTCTGGACACACATACCATTTAAAAGAGATCAATATGTGGTCTTTTATGACTGGCTTCTTTCACTTAGCACAATATTTTCAAGGTTCATTGATGGTGTGGCATGTATCAGTACTTCATTCCTTTTTGTTGTTGAATAATATTCCTTTGTATGGCTATACTACATTTTAATTTTTTTTTTTGGCTATACTACATTTTGTTTATCAATTTGCAGTTGATGGGCATTTGAGTTGTTTCCACTTTTTGCACATTATGAATAATTTTCTTGTGAACGTTTTTATCTGCATAATTTTGTGTGGATCATATGGCGTGGATCATGTGGTAACTCTGTGGTTTGATCTGTTGGGGAACCACCTGAGTGTTCAAAAGTAGCTGCACTGTTTTATATTCCCATCAACTGTATGTGAGTGTTCCAGTTTCTCTAGATCCTTGCCAGAGTCTGACCTACTGCCTATGAAAGGTGGAGAATAGAAAAGTCAGAATTGAGTAAGAGAAAGTTTTTAAGGACCACCAAGGAAATGGTAACACTCCTGTTAGATAAGCTAGCATTCAGAGACGGCTAGGACTCCTAGAGACAACCGATGGTCCTCGATTTATGGTAGTTTGGCTTATGACTTTTTGACTTTCTGATGGTGTGAAAGCAACACACATTCTGTAGAAACTGTACTTCGGGTTTTGAATTTTGAACTTTCCCTGGGCTCGTGATACGTGGTATGGAACTCTCCTGTGATCCTGCGCAGCGACAGTGAGCCACAGCTCCCAGTCAGCCATGTGATCATGAGGGTCAACACCCATACACCTACAACCATTCTGTACGCCATGTAGCCATTCTGGTTTTCACTGTCAGTATGGTATTCAATAAATTACAGGAGATATTTAGGACTCTTTTATAAAATAGGCATTGTTAGATGATTTTGCCCAACTGTAGGCTAATATAAGTGTCCTGAGGACGTTTAAGGTAGGTTAGGCCAAGCTATGATGTTCGGTAGGTTAGGTGTATAAATGCAATTTCAATTTTCGATGGATTTATCCTGACATAACACCACTGTAAGTTGAGGAAGATCAGTATTGAGCTGAGATGTCATCCAGGTATTCATATGTAAATAATCTTTATTCAGCTATAGACGGGCTGCTAGCATTTGGGGGAGAAATTAAGATTTGCGGAACTCAGAGAGGCTTTGGCATTTCACAGAAGTCATAGTTGAGAAACCAAATGTGTGGTGAGAGTGAGGGACCCAAGGATGGACTAGGAGAAACCTGGACACAGGGAAGGAAGAGGTCATGGACAGTGCTAGGTTTGGGCATGCTTGTCTTGCAGATGGCACAGTCTGTGTGTAGAACCCAGATGCTTACACTCATTGATCCTCCCAAGATAACCCACTTTCCTTACTTGTAAAAGGGATCATTAGGGGAAGAAGACAACTTTCATACATGACTATAATATACCCAGTGATACTGAATAAATATGAAATGCTGTATGTTATCTCAAGAGCCCCAAAGACTCCATAATATGTTAAACATAGTAGCTCAGGATTTTATTTTTAAAGTTTGAGCCTCCTCTGAGTCTGTCGGAACACTGAGTTGAATTGGCCTGGATTTGGAGGTAGGTGTGTGCTTATAGTGTCCTTTATCTTCTGTATTGACTTTGTAGCCCTATTCCCATCTCCCCACTGTGGTCATACTTCCACCAATAAAAGTACATTTCTTATTTGTCAAAATAGTATTACTTAATTTAATATTTAGATTTAATTTAAATTAATATTTTAATTTATTTTGTATTTTTAAGAGAGTTATGTAAAGTTAGACATTGCATTTTGAGTCTAAACTATTCACTTACTGTCTTAAAGGGAGTTTGATTTTACCACAGTGGGATTTATTCTAAATTATATCTGTTTCGTCTTCTTTAAATTGCTCTTTTAAGGTAGGTGCCATTTATAAACCATGCAAATTGAGACATTATCTATTGATCAGCAGGAGCACCAAAGGTGAGGATTCTATTCTGGACGTAGAATCTCTCTTTTTAGCATCATCTCTGAAATGGGAATAATTATGTTTGACCCTACTCTTCCTTATAAAGATGTTGCAAAGGTGAAGGAAATTGCGTTAATTAACTTAGAACTTTGTGTATAAAGATGTTTCTAAGAACTTGATAAAGTTGATTTGGTTTTGGGGCACCCTTCACTTGTGTCTCATGGAAAACAGCTAAAGATGCCACCAATTCAGTAGTTTTCTACAGAAGATGGGTAAAAAGGTCTCGGTGCATAAAACACCCTTCTTTAGAGAATTACTGTATTTGTTTCAGAGGGCAGAAATTCACCAAAAATTAACAGTATTGTATTTTTCAAAGGAAAGGTAAGTCCTGGCCTGTGACATGATTTTAATACTCTGTCCATATTTGGTCTGAATTTAAGGCTGCTGTGATTGGTTCACTTTTAAAGGTTGATTATTATTAGTTACTTATATTTGAATATTTACGCTTATGACTTGATTTTTCTGCTAATGTGTATACATCCTTTAATTTATCAGGCTCATTATGGTGCCAAGTGGTAACATGGGAGTGTTTGATCCAACGGAAATTCACAATCGAGGGCAGCTGAAGTCACACATGAAAGAAGCCATGATCAAGCTTGGTTTCCACCTGCTCTGTTTCTTCATGTATCTTTATAGGTGAGTTTATGGTCCTCCTGGTGTTTTCCTAGATGCCATGCCTGCTTTTGGTGGGTGAGATATTACTGTACTGTAGGATTTTGTATTGACTTTGTAGAGCTTTGGGAGATTATGTGAATTTCTTGTAATTGTGTAGATTTTTTACATATGTCATTGAATCAGCCTTCCATCTGACCTGCAGTAGAGTTACTCAGTGTTCTTAGTTACTTCTTAGCTGCTAAGGCTGTCAGCATGCTTAAAACTGTCTTTGCTGTTCTTCTCTTGCCCTAGTATCCAGCTGTGAGGTCTCACTGCCTGTTATAAGCATTAGCCTGTGTGCGCCCACAGCCTCTCCCACTCATGGGTCTTCTGGGGATCAGACCACTGGCAGCAGCTCTCAACAACTTATATGCAGGTTGGGCTGATCTTTCATGGCAGTAAGAAATTTAGGTGTGATGCCTTTTCTCCAGGGTGCAATTGGTCTCTTCTGGTAAAAATTGCATCAGTCTTCCAGTTATAACAGTTTGAAAGTCAGATTTAATATGAAGGATTGGCTATCAGACACTGGAAGCCTTTATACAGTCCTGTTTTAAACAAATTTATTACCTTATGTTTTAGAGATGACATGCCACCTTTTCTTTTACCTATCATAGGCCCATAAAATAGAGCAAAGAGGAGAAAAAAGTTGTCGTGTGTATATGATTTGATCAAACCTTTAAGAGGCTAAAAATCAGGCTTAACTTTTATATCTGAGCTAATCGTATCATTCCTGTTTTTTACATGTAAATTTTAATTTTCACATAGGCAAAAAGACAAGTAGGAAAAAACTTATACTGAACTAAACTTGCATCACTCAAAAGATTCCTAATAATTAGACACTACACAAAGATAAGAGTTTAAAAAATTGCTGTTTTGTCTGAAATAGTTTAGGAGTCAGAGCTATTTTGGCCTCTGTCAGAAAAAACAGGGTTCCTAAAATCCTTTTGCTGTGCTAATTCCACCCACTAGCATAGATTCGATTGAAATTAGAGTTTAGATGGTTTCCTTTTTACCATTTATTTTATTTGTTATGCTGTATTTTAAAAATAGGACAGAAAAAGCACATCGGTGTTGGTTTCTGGTTCTCATACCCTATCTCATTGCTAGCATTTAAATCCTAGCATTTTTAATCCTAGCATTTAAATCCTAGCATTTTTAACCCTAGCATTAATATGAACAATAAATAGCAAAGAAACTTAATATTAAGAATACAAGGTGGTTATCCTTTTTTCTTCCTCTTCTCCCCTCCAGGTTTCATGCTTTTGGAGAGTAAACTAGAGTGGACATACCCTGGGTCTTGATAACATGGGCTTCCCGAGACAGTTGGGGCACAGCCAGTGCAGTCACACGTCTGGGTGTAAACGAAGGATTAGGGGGCAGGATCCTGCTTAGTAGACTTGAAGTCTTAGGATTTAAAAATGGGCAAGAGTTTCTTAGCTCTCAGTTGTTGAATTTAAAGCAATGGGAAGACGGACTGAAGACTGGGGGTTGGAGGGATCAGGAAGCAATTTGGGAGCAGGTTGAAGGTATAGTTCTTTACATTGAAATAAAAGGTAGGCAACCTGTATCACTGGTTTGACTGAGTAGCTGCATTCCTCACTAGCTGCATCTTTTCTTTTTCTTTTCCCTTCCTTTCCCCTTCCCTTCTCAGCTTGTCATTTTTAGCCATATTTTACCTTACCTCGTGGTCTTCCCCATAGCTCAAGGGCTCAGGATGAAAGAGTAGTCTCAGAGGATGCCTGTGTAACACTTTTCTCTTAGCCTTTGGTTGCGGTTTTTTAAAAGTAGTTTTTATTCTGAATCATCCGATTTCTAGAGCAGGGATTTATGCTGCTGCTTCTGTATCACCTGCCACCGCTTGTGTGGTGCCTTGCACGTAGCAGACATTCAGGGTTTGTTAAACAGAATTAAAGGAGCAAATGCCCGTCTTCTTTAGAGATTGATGGAATCTATGCCTTTGGTGTTTTGGTTAGGTGCTGCCCTGGTGGAATGTGGGCTCTACCACCTACTCACTGTGTGACTCGGGGCAAGTTTCTTAACTTCTCTGTGTCTTGATTTCTTCATCTGAAAATGGGATAGTAATTGTACCTACCTTGTTGAATTGTGATGTGGATTAAATGAGATAATGCATGTAAAGCACTTTGGTTTTTGGTTAAGCTCTAAAGAAACTTAAAATATTAGTTGGTACCATTAATTCCTGCTGTGCACCAAGTACACTTAATTTCGTTAAATTTGGATAACTAATCACTTACACTATTAATAATGTAAGGGTATTTTTCTGTAGTTATTTGAGCTCAGCAGAGCAAGGCTGATGCCAGTAAAAAGAATTGATAGTCTTGTTGCTCTTGTTAACTGTGGCGGTTTTAATAGCGTTTTCTGAGTGACTGCTGTGTGTCAGACACTGTGTAAGGCGAGTGACACAAAGGAGCAGCACAAAATCCCTGTGTAAAAGCCGGGAGCCTGGTGATTTCAGCTCTCAGGCGTTATCCTGGAATATGAAAGTGATGACGCCCGGATCCAGCTCTCGTGTCAGAAGAGCTTACAATCCAGGGGTAGAAACTTAAGCCAAGGTGTGCGGGAGGACGAGGAGCTCTGGAAGGAAGCCGTGCGACTGCCCTGGGCTGAGAGGCCGGCTTGCCAGAGGAGGTGCTGGAGCCTGATCGATAGTCAGGCCTGACTCGGAAGTGACCCGGTTGATGGCAGTGGGATGGGAGGAGGTGTTCAGGAGTAGGGACAGCATGTGCACAGACCTCCACAGAGAATTAAAGTTTGTTTCCTGACATTGCTTGTTTTTTCTGAACTATACCCCAACATTGGTTTAGGTTATACTCCCCACCCTACCTCTACCCCAGTTTTCTTTTTTTTTTAGTAAAAATGTTAGGGCCTCTCACTGCTCCAATATAGGTGTTCTTTCCTTTAGGTATAAATGATTGCTTTTTACTCAAACGAGTGTCCCTTGCTGAGCCTTAGGGGTGCAAGTCTGGACAGACCAGACTCTGTAGGGACATTTCTGAGGAAACATTAATAACATTAATTTCTTCTCTCCACAGTATGATTTTAGCTTTGATAAATGACTGAAGCCGGAGAAGCCATGGTTGCAGTCAGCCTACACTACAGTGCACAGTTGAGGAGCCAGAGACTACTTAAATCATCCTTAGAACCGTGACCATAGCAGTATATTTTTTCCTCTTTGAACAAAAAGTATTTTTGCTGTATTTTTACCATATAAAGTATTTAAAAAACATTAATTGAGTTTTTGTAGCTTTCTGGTTCTCAACTTTAGCCTGAACCCCAACATGTGAAGGTGTTTTTCATCATCTGTGATCTGTGTGCAGGAACAGGCCTGTCATTACAGCCTTGCACGCCAAAGGAATAAAGGACCCACTCCAAAGGGAAAACGTAATCGATGGGCCAAGTGGCTCTTCAGGTCTACTGAAAAGTCAGTGCGGTACAGCACTGTTAATCTGGGCAAGGGAAGAAAGAAACTGAACTTCCTCTTTGCCTGTATTGCGGCAGCTTCATACATTTAATATGGTTTAAAGATTTATGGGACTGTAAGCTAAAAGTCTTTTCACAAGAATGTTAACAGAAAATGACATTTAAAAAAATACATATTCTTTGCCGAATTTGTGAAACCCTATAAGCCATTATAGGTACGATGTCATTCCTGCTTATAGAAAGGAAAATAAACCAAAAAAGTAAAATTTTATCAAGAGCTTTCATTTAAAAGCCACTGCCTCCACAATCACCCTCAAACCCAAACAATCCCACTGGCTCTTGCCGGGTCTTGTTTCTGTTTTCTGATTGATCCAATTGTATTTGATCTCCCTGATGTATTTTTTAATGGGTTTGGAGAGGTGATTTGGTAGAAAATGCTCATCAGATTAGAGGCAGGAATAGCAGTCATTCAGTGTCAGTGAAATTGAGCCTGTCAGTGCTCTGCTTGGTGCCTGATTAACTGACACTTCGGTCCTGCTGCGCTGACTACTTTGTGAATGGAGAGGCCCAATACAAGCCATTTCATGGACATAGCAATATCCACGCAAGCTTGGTTCTTTGGAGTTATATTTGTAAATTCTTACAGTTGATGAGAGCAGTTAACCTCTTCAGCTCTGTTTGCCGGGTACAGTGAACCTGGCAGTTTATTCTCAGTTCTCGTTTGTGTTTTAATGTTGCTATCTTAGGTGTTGGCATTTAGGCTAAAAATGTGTGTTTTATGGCAGAGTCCAAAGGAATTATTCGCTCTGTTGAGGCAGAATTGGATAGCTACACAAGGTGTGTGGTCACCAAACATCAAATATTGCATGTCCTTTCAGTCCTGGACTAGATCTACCCGTGGCAGAAGCCAGAGAACCACTAAGCAAAACTCCTTATACGACAGACCCACATTTTGAGGATGGTGGTACCCTGGTCACATGTGAAAGGGACAGTGAAATGGCAAAGTAAACTCGATTCTGTTGAGCTCTTTGGGGGTCTCAGAAATTGCTCCTTGTGATTATCTTGTATTTCTTCCAAGCAAAGAGACAACAAACTCACATAGAAGTTAGTTTGCCTGCATCTCTTTTCCTTCTGAGGTAACTTCCTCTGTTTAAAAAAAACCAGCCATTTCACTCTGCCTTTCTCGCTAACTTCCAGTGCCTCTAAATGTTCTGCTCAAGCTTTTAAAGCAATGAAGCTGTTGGAGAATTTAAATCCTTAGAAATGAGAGAGAAACAAGCTACTTTAGGAAGCTCAGAATTGGTAGAGGACTGTTGACCAAAATATTTTATCCTCTCATTCAAGTATTCTTTTCTTTTAAATTGAAATATAGTTGACTTTACAATATTGTGTTAGTTTCAGGTATACAGTGTGGTGATTTGGTTGGTTTTTTTTCCAGAGTATATGCCATTATAGGTTATTACAAGATATTGAATATACATGTATTCTTAATAACCAAAATTAGAAAGTTGTGTAGTTGAGAGCATCTGACTGTGTATTGTCAGGCTCAAGTTGCCAAGGCTGAGCAAATCAGAAAGGTGCCTTGTTGGTAACAAAAGACAGGAGCTCTTCTGAAACATTAACTGTGGTTAAAAACAAAACCACCTTTCTTGTTTGTCTGTATCAAAGCCAGGAAAGGGGGTAATTTTAGTTTTTGTTTTTATGTTTTAGGAGCTCTTTTACAAATGATGAAAAGGTGAGGGTGGGGAGGGAATGTCCTGACTTTAAAAACTGTGGTTAAGATGCTAAAGGTTAATTTTCTATGCTTTTATTGGTTGGAGAGTTACAGAGGACCTTTAGAGATCATTTGTTCTAACTTCATCTTTGAGACAGAACTGAGCGCTAGGGATTGCATCTGGGGTCCTGATGGTTAGTTCAGTGTTCTCTCTCGCTCTCTTATCACGCCTCTTCCCTGTCCCGCTATGAAGGTAGTACCCAGGGCCCAGGCAGTGCAGACTACCATGGCGTGCTTCTGGTGTAAAATATTTTTATCTGTGTGTTCTGTCATTTTCCCTTGTCCCTTTCCTTCCATCCTTTCAGTGGTGGCAAGTGCCGCGCTAATCACTGGACTCTCAGCTGAGAGGGCTGAGGAAGCAAGAACTAAGGAGGTGCAGCTCAGTTCATCAAAGCCTGGCAGCCACCTCTTCATGCCACACAGATGACAATGGAATAAGAGGCCAAATCTGCTTCCTCTCCTGTGGGCTTACTTTGAAGTTGAGGGCTAAGAAAGCCCCCTGTGGAACTTTTCTTTTGTGGCACTTACCACTTTCTGTCTGGTAATACAATTACTCGTGTGCAGTTAATCTCTCCTACTAGATTGTGCGCTCCTGGAGGGCAGAGTACACTCTGACTCATATTTGTGTCTTCCTACTGCTGCTGGCACCTAACACAGTGCCTTGCACACAGAAACAATAAATGATTGTTGAATGAACAAGTAAATCTGATTGTGTTGTTCTATTGCTCTTTCAGCATGAAGTCTAACTGATGTCCTTTACGTCAGAGAAGTAAGAAGCAATGGAGCAACATAATCAAAGCCCACCGTCTGTTTTCGAGGCAGTCACGTTGTGGGATGTCCTAAGACGGGCTAGGTTAGGAAAGGAAACCGCTGTGTGTGTTTGGTGTGCCTGAGACTTGGGAAGTCAACTTTACTGACAAGCTAGTATTTTGTCACAGGTAATTGTGATGAAAAGTGTGTGCCAGGTATAATTAATTACCTCCCACATGTAATAAAGTTGTTCTAATATGTGGAAACAGGCCGAGATAGAGAAGGTAAGTCTGAAATTCTGTGTTTACCATCTAGATTACTGCCACCTGAGTTTATATACTTTCAGCCAAATATACTATTTTGCTATGTAGTGTAACAGACTGAAATATGCTTGGTGTAGTGAGACTACAGTTAACAAGCTGCTCAAAGAATGGGCTATTTCAGCTTTCTGAGCATTTGTTAGTGAAGTCTTTTGGTTTTAAGCCATACTTTTTGTGAAGATTCTAAAACGCAGTAGCCACATTGTTTTGCACTGAATAAATACAGTCTGAGGACTGAGGGTCACTCAGAGCCTTAGGGTTAGCACTGGGGGCTGCAGCCATCCTACTGATCATCACCCGCAGGACCGTAGGTGTTACAGGGATTGTGCACGAGCTGAGCAGGTACTGAGCTCAAGTTGCTCTTTAGAATAAATTCCTTGGTAAAAGCTGTTTTTGTTTTCAGCTGCTTCCTCTGAAGCTGGGTGAGGAAGAGTGAGTGGGGAGGTGGTCAGAATCAGCTGTGGGCTCCGAGGTTTGACTGTGGCTTCCTCTGTTGTGTGCTTGGCTTGCTATATCCGTTCTGGAGCAATCTTGGTTTCATCTGTTTTAGTTCCCATTGAACGTTAGAGCCTAGTCAAAGTGTGAGTCAGTTTAACAAATACTTCAATTGCTGTTCCCCAGCGGGGCACCTCGTGTGCGGGTATTGCGGGGACCAGCGAGACCAAGTCACAGGCTACCGCACCATCTCTCTCCAGCCAGCCCTCTTACTCCTGGCTCACTTCTAAGCGCCCTGTTTTATCACAGTCCCTACTTTGTTGTTGATCTAGGGGACCTGATCACATCTTATACCTGCTGTTCTAACTACCGTGTACTCTTTGGGCAAGAGGCTGGCACTTGAACAAAGAAGGAGCTTGGATCCTTTGTCTATTTTCACAGCTCACTCCATTCAAATTGATCATCTCTGAAGGAGGATATAACGTGGAATCAAGTTCTAGATCCTGATCTTATCACTTGATCTGATCAGCAGCCCATTTCACAGATTGGATGTAAACTGGGTGAGGGTTGAACCTGATAACTCGAAAGGCAACAAGTTTGGCTGCCACTGCATCTGCTCTGTCGGAGACCTGTAGTCTTCTGGTGTAGCTCTCTATAAAGATACTTTTTGGAAGAGAATAACAGGACTAATCTGAGTTACCTGGTAAGTTTCTATTTTACCAGCTACAGTGATCAGACTCCTGAGCATTCTTGTTTTATCCATAATCTGCTTCACACCCACCACCCAATTTTGAAGCAAATACCAGACATGATTACATATGTAGTATTTTTATATGTATCTCTGTAAAATAAGTGTTCTTACACACACACACACATACATACACACACAACCATAGTACCAGCGTCATACATAAATTGGTAATTACTTAGTATTAAATATCCAGTTGGTGCTCAGATTTCCCCTACTGGCTCAAGTTTCAGTTGGCTTGTTCACATTGGGATCCAAATAAGATCTGTACATTTCATTTGGTTAATGTCTCTTAATTACTAAATTCTTTTTCCCCTTGCAATTTGAAGAAACTCATTTGACATAGCAAACGAGTGATTTGTTGTGTAGAACCTCCAGTGTCCTGGCTTTTGCTGAATCCTCTATTATAAACTTTAAAGTCACTCTTAAAAAAATCATTTGTAATTTCACTATGTGCATTCTAACCCATCTTAATGCTGTCTGGTGAGACACTGTTAGATCCTTTTACAGATGAGGGATATGACAGGCTAAGTTAACCTGTCTAAAGTGACACACCAAGTGACAGGATTTATATTCGGGTCTGATGACTCCAAAATCCATGATTTTAACCACTACTTTATAAAACAATTTGAAGATACTCAGATTTATTGTGGAGATCTTCTATAAAACTTCATGTGCCTGTTTTATTGATTGCTTTAACTATATGGAGAAAAAACTCCTGCTATAATTCCAAAAGTGTCATTTTCTTCTATGAACTAAACCGTTACTTAGAATCAGTAAAGTGGGCCCTTAAACCTGTGACAAGTTTTAACAATTTTTGTTCCAGGGTGAATGGCCATCTATAGACCAAGGGAGGTTTATATGGTGTAGTGGCTGAAAACATAAGCTCCGGGTACCTGGCTTCGAATCCCAGCTCCTTCATACCAGTTAATTTATGTAAGCCTATTACCCTCATTTGTAAAATGAGAATTAGAGTCTTTGCCCCATGAAGCTATCATGAGGATTAGATAAGAATTCAATTCGGTGAGAATGAAATGAAATGAGGCTCATCCATAGACTGGCCTACAGTAAGCACTCAGTGTATTAGCCCAAAGGAAACCGTTCTGTGCTCTTGCTACTCAAAGACCACGTAACTGTGTAGTGTTGTGGTTAGTCCCTCTCAATACCCATTGTGCTCCTGCTTTTAATTCTTGGTGTCATTGCTGAAGTAATATAGCAGTCCCGTGGTTCTCAAAACCCACCAAGAAGTAGCTCAGTGCCAGCTGACAACGTACAGTTACCTGCTGTTAACAAACTTGACTTGTGATCTGGAAGGTGGCTTAGAAATCTAGAAGTTAGAAAAGCCTTCAGTTGAGTCTCCCATGCACTTGGATCTAGAAGTTAAAAGCACAGGCTCTGGAATCAAAACAGGGGTTACCATCTGTTAATTGTATTTGTTTCCTTAAGCTTGTGTTTATCATTGAAAAAAGTGAGCAATACTTGCTTACAGAGATAGAAGTTTAAATAATGTATATAAACTGCCTGGTACCCAATAAGCACTCCAATTACATATTTACTAGGAGGAAGTATTGAAAGAAAAAGGAAATTAAAACCAAATTAGTTGATTAATATCAGTTCTTTGTGGACACGGAAGTAAAATCTTACTGAATTTTTTCATGCAAACCCATTAATGGGGAAAAAGAGCCTATTTAAACATAGTGTGAAAGACCTTTTTTGAAGTTTTTTTCATTTATAATAAAATCAAGGCCTCTTTTCTGAATTAGGCCACAAACTGCTGTTTTTCCATATGGGGGATGAGGGAAAGTGATTCACTATTTGAAACTATTTGGCATACAACTACCAATTCAATATGTAGCTGCATTTTTAAACTATATTCAAAATGAGGAAAAAGCCACCACACAGGAGGGCTTAAAAGAACAATTAGCATGTTCATTTGAATTCTAGATATGGTCTATCACCATGGCTAATTATGTCCCAAATAAGATGTCTTTCCTGAGGCTATAAAAGAAAAAGTCTTAAAATTGTATATGGACTCCAGTTGCATCAATGTAATGCACTGACCAAAGACCAATCCTCACATCAGAAAAGGAAATTAAGACTTGATTAGAAATTTATTATTTGTTCTTCCGTTTCCAGCAACAGCTATAAATTACATGACAATTTAATATTTTGTTAACTACGTGATTATACTGTTTCATACACAGCAAGCTCATGTTAAGCACGCTAATTGATTAGGTTTGAGGGAGAAGAGTTCACTGCCACGAAATCAATGACAGACACTAAAGATCCTTGGGAGTAGTGACAGGATGATGGGGTCATTGTTGACCTCTTTAAGGGTTTTTTCTGAAAAAAAATTTCAAGTAGAAGTCATGAAATCATGTAAAGACCATCAACTTTTCTTTTGCTTAAGTGGAAGGGAGTTGAATTGTGTTTTAAAAATACAACTTTATACTCAGGTTTACTAGGGTTGGGAATTTTTCTATACCTGTGCTGGCATCTGGCACGAAACTTTAAATATAGACAAATAATCTCAACTAAATCTCCTAAGTGTAGCTGTACTTAAAGAATCCAAGTAGAAGAGACTTTTCTCTTACCTGTTAATGAGGAGGGGGCAAACCATAACTTTAAAAGCAGTGAGTGTGAAAGCACTACTCTCTCTGCTTTATTAGCGGATCTGCTGTCGTAAGCTGACTCTCTCCACTGTCTGCCAATACTAGTTTTTCACGTCTGAACTTCCTCTCACTGTGGAGAACTCTTAGCAGGAAAAATCTTGAAGCCTACTACTATAATTCACCTTGGTGGGGCAACTGGCTTTCTTTTGCTTTTTTTCATAAATACTAATATACTATATAGGTTTGTATACACTGAATGCTTTTTCCAAGGGATCTTTTAAAGAACTATATGATTATTCATTGTGAAATAAATTTTAATTTCAAACTGGAAATATATTTTCTCTCCTTGTCAGCATATCCACTGGCTAAATGCATAATTTCAGATACAGTAATATTTTTGAACAATATGCAGCATGTGATCCCTTTAAAATTCAAGTCTTCCTTAAATTTTTGTAAATTAACCCATGATTACACAAAACAGCTCTTTAAAAAGATACCTCAACTGGCAAAGGAATGCTTCCTTAGACACTGCTTAAAAAACTCCAGGTAAATCTATGGATGTCAAATTTAGCAAATTAATTCTTTTAGGTAAAACAATTTAAAAACTCAGATTAATGACTATTAGGAGATTTAACACAGGAACAATTACTTAATTATTCATTCTGTTTATTGGATTGAAAGGGAGTACAAACGATTGATTAAGTGCTATGCACCGACATGGAAAAAGTGTATTTAAAAAAAACTCAGTAAAGCAAATCAAAGTTAATGTAGTTTCAATTGAACAAAAATTTAGACATTTAATATACTACACATTTATAAAATAAAAGTTAA